GTCCATTATCAGCGGCGTAGGTGAGTACTTGCGTGGAACAATCGGCATTCTACTTCCGCGCATAGTTTGCGGTCGATTCACGTTGAAATTGGTGTGCTACATTTGTTGGTCACAGCAGTTATTTGCATGCCAAAGTCTCCCATCACATGATTCAAACCATGTTACTCAAGGAACCGGAACTTGTTTAGCTATGCCCTAAGCGATACTCTCACGCCTATCAAATTCGGCAACTGAATTGACTGCTCCATTCTGAAAGACTAAATCATTAGCGGGATTTATTTTATAGCAAAACTAATATAAATAGAGGATCCAAAAACACAGGTCTGGTCAATGTATCCTGAGCCACTTCGATGTCTCTTTACGGATGTAGACAAAACTTATGCAACACCCTGACTTTCAGCACATTTGTTCCTACCAACGCTTAGTTTTTCCAGCCTCATTTCTGGGATTGCTTCACATAAGATGCAACATATCTGATATAATATCCATTAGTATATTTGCTTATTTACTGTGCACTGAATGATAAGAGATAAGCTAATTAGAATACGTGTCTTCAGCTTAATAAATGAGAATCATTTATTAGAAACAAAAATTCCCATGCTCCTTGGCAAAAAATATTTTCAAAATATGAGCTGTAACTTTTGAACAATCACAAATTTCAGCATGACGCACAAGGTCGAGTAAATTCAAACGGTGACAGAAGAGAACTAAGAACATAGAAGTGAGAGATAAATTTAGAAATAAATACATTTTATCCATAACCATCAACATACAAGTTTGATGTTGAAAACCGAAATATATTTCCAAAACGAGAGTGAAGTTGCACAAGTTTGATGAACACTTGCACACCTGCATATTTCGGTGTGAGTGATCAATAACGTGCGGTCAGAAAATAGAGAAACATGGACCGAGAAATATTGTGATCAGTAACACTCATAGAATAAACTTGTTATTAAGGTGACGCCAGAGTGATAATCTACTCCCACTTTTTACACAGCTAATAATGATAATCTTGTTTGGCTAGCACCTCGGTGTATTTTAACCCCGGTGTTGTTTGTATTATCGAGGATTTTAAATGTGTCGCTCTGCACTGCCCAATGCTTCACTTCAGCCAGGTGCTGTATAATGGGTGCCAATCTCGGTTAGCAGCACAATGCCCTGAGCAAACTGCCATGGAGTTTGAGTGAGTTGTGTTCCTGATGTTTGCATTCATCTTGTTTTGCAGATTGTCAGTTAATTCTTTCCACAGAGAAGCTCATGTCTATTTGATAGTAGTTACTCAGCAGCTCGGAGTTGGTTATCCCTTGGCTGTCTCCACACATCCGTTCACTGAAAAACATCATTTAATAGAGTCAAACCTAAGCGCGGTGCAGCAATACAGGTGATAGCGATAGATAAAAGTTCGGTCGAATGCCTTGGAGAAAGACCATGTATGTATCATTTCAGGTCATTATAACACCATAGAAATCATATCATGTGGTAATTGGTGTGCCTAGTTTGAGTTTCACACTCTTGGCCACAATCAACTGAAATGTGTTAAGACTCTTTCCATGTGATCCTAACAAGCAAATCCCGACGATTGTCAATCTGAAAAATCTTCACACTTTTTCTGCTTACCCAGATTAACACGTTTCCCTTGTAGCAAGAAAAATAATAATAATTATCACAAACACCGAAACCGTATCTCGTTTCATCAAATTATTTGAACACAATGTGCACGCAATCACGCTGCAAAGGGTAATGCATTATACGTATTCCAGACAATCCTTGTTCTGATAACGTGCAAACATCTTAGTAGAAAGGAGATGATAGCTTTGAACAACTTTGAAAATTCCATCAATTTATGTAACCGAAACGATCAGCGTTGCATCATCTGCATCCGTTTACCACCTGGAACATGGGATCAGTTTTCTATCCTACCGGGGTTCCCATTCATACATTTTTTATCGACTACTTGTTACCTGCCACGGCATGAATTCATACTCCTTATTGATGAATGAACATCTGGTGTGATAGCAAACACCACCCATCCACCACCACCACCATCACCATCACCACTATCAGAGATCCCATNCTGTCCTACCGATTTACCAAGCCGCATTCTGATCGGTCTTGTAGCCTACCCACGGGCTACATGTAACCTCTTCAATTAGTACATGATAGAGTGGTAAGCTTCCCCCTCCAGACCGCATGTTTCGATCTGGATTGACATTATTCCTTTGTCAATTTATGCATAGCCCTTGGCAAGCACTATAAGACGCAGTGTGTTATTTCGGTAAAGTGCTATATAACGATTTGGAGGACGTTCGGAATTAACTTATGAGGTTGTGTGTAACTCAGAGTGTCTGTTATCTTTCATTTAGGCCATCTGGTAATGATTCATAACTCTGAGTTGTTCTTAACGAACAGTGAAAGGGCGAATTGCGTGTGAATTAACCTATGAGTTGTGATTATCCATTGCCGGATGACACAGCTTGATCAAACACAAGGGTAAATCAATGGCAGCTGAATTTTTTTCTCAACAATGTGTTTCCAGCTTAGTGAATCACCGGGTATAGCACGAACATATCATTAGTTAGTGTGTCATTTCAGTCAGAACAAAGTGAAAACTTTGCTGTTACCATGGCCATAAGAGTCATTGCCCTATGTGACACCGTTTACATTCTCACCATCTCCTCATGTACTGTCCTTTTCTCACATTTTCACACTTCCCTCTTGACTAAGATTTTTCATATCGTGTCCACTTCCCACATGTCACCTGGGTTTGCCTT